TTCTGTCCAATTTTTTTCGTAGATACGTCAGTCAAAATTTTTTAACGTACATGTATTGTTATCCTAAAGGATTTAACGAATCACGGTAATAACGAATCAAGCATGCACATTCCTAGCATTTCACTATAATTTAATTTTAGTTTTAACTCGTCATTTGATTGGATAAAAAATTTAATCCACTTCGTATAACATAACTTGCCTACGTCACATTGAGTCACGTCAAATACGTTTTACTCCGCTTGACGTTACTTTTTAAAAAATGCTCAATCTGAAGCCTTTTTCCGTAGGAAATATCGTTTCATTGTCTACACTGAAATTAAATTGTAAGGAATTCGCGGTTTATAAGAAAGCCTAAACTGCCCCAAGTTTGTTATATCGGATAAGATAAGTTGAAATAAGCTTCATTCCTTAAATAAGCGTGTTTTACTGTACATGCAAGTATCACTCACACGTCAGTAGAATTATTATAAACGACTTAAACCGGAAAACTTAAATTAAAAACAAGAAAGAAGAGAATAAGTCAAGGATTTCCGAACAGAACTTCTACTATTTAGATCACAATAGAAGGAAAATGTTTAAACAACCCATATCCTCTTCTGATGAGGAGCTGTTCCATTTTTCAACGCATTAGGGAGGATGAAGGGGTAGAATACAATCAGTTGGTTGCTTATTCAGTGGTCGGCTGTCATAAGTCGTAAAGTACCATTTTGCTGGTGACATCTCTTCAGCTTACTGCATCACAAAATTACATTCAATTTGTTACATTTTAATCTTTTGCAATGGATGGAATATCTTTAACGACCTGGATACTTTCAACTTAAGTTTGTTAGAAAAATTTCAATCTCTCACCCCAGCTGAGACTGCTAAGCTCTGTACACACTTGAGATTTGATTGGTGGTGGAATATGCATGAAATCAATGCATTTCCGGTAGCCTAGTTGTACATAGTGTGAGTGTGCTTCGTAATCGGGAGGACCGGGTGTGACTCTATGTCGCCACGCCGCGTGAAACCTAAGACGTAGGTAAAGGTAGATAAAATTCCTTTGCCAAGGGCGCTTCAATAGAAGTTCAAGTTAGAGGTTCTTAAAAATTAACAAACCTCACTGCTCATGGACCCCGAGGTCTAAATTTGAAGTGCTTTACCGTAATATAGTAAATATCCATACGAGTAAAAAAATTCTCAAGTGGGACGTAGAACAACATACAATCAAAATCCACCGAAACTACCCTGTCACTCATAATTCGCAGAACATAAAGTTTAACAAAAACCTACTTTGCTTGTCTAATTTTTCCTTGAATATTGTTTTAGTAGTGAGCATGCTTGCATATAGGAAATTTTATGTTTTGATAACGTCAGGTAAGACTAGATTTACATGCAAACGGGGTACCAACGTTGCTTCAAACCGACAAAAATGGTCGTTTGATGATGACTTATATTCATTAACTTTTTGATACAGTAAAATTGCACAATGCATTAGAATTTTATCTTGTGTCCAGATTGACCTTACTTGGAATACTGTACCTTTGACCCTTACATTAAACACAATTTTGGCAAAAGGTAATCATTTCTTTTCTAATTTGTAATTATTACAAGTTTTCCTCCTGGATAACCATCAGTAAATACTATTTTGAAGACTGTTATGAAATGTAAAACATTACTAATTAAGTCCGATCCTTGGACTAATTTTCGGCCCAGACAAATATGGAGATAACAATAATTTCTATATTCAGTAAGGAAAGATCTCCTTTGTCTTTATTTTTACTGTTGACCATCCTACCGAAGGTTCTCGAAATATAATGGATTTGGATTCTAATTCGTAGATCCATTCAATGTGACGTACAATTACTATCACGATTTAAAAAGTTAAGATAATAAAACAGCCATGGAAACATATAAGAATCGCTGGTAACATATAAGCAAAATGAAGATAATGTATTGGGAACAACTGGGTTGCTGAATTATAATGAATGAAATAAAAATACTTTTTTATTGGACAAAAGAAGTAAGATCAGATGACATGGAGGTGAGTTAAGTTTGGATGCTATGTGGGGTGAATTAGGATCAGATGCCATGGAGGAGTAACATCCCTTGCTGACATAAGAAATCAAATAAGTACAGAGAAATATTTTAAGTCATAACATTTTTTCTCAAAGGACACCGACCAACATGGTTTAATGACTTCAGGGTGTACATTGTTTTGAATAACCTCATGACAAAAGTTAATTATGTATAATTTTAATATAATCTAAACGAAAACCAATATGTGATTTCTGAATCACCTCCTCCAATGAATCGGTTGAACAAGTTTTCATTATTACAAATTTCTAATGATGTAAAATATTATACTCAGTCCAAATATGACTCTGTTTAAAAATACGATTCTAATTAGATAAGATCATTCAACAATACATGTTGACCACTGCCCCTTTACAAATTGCGTTAGCTGACGACAATATCTGATGATTTCAGGGGCTGCCTAAAAAGTTCACAAACGTTTGGATTGTTCTGTGTTCACATTTGACACTAAAACAGCTGAGCATTCTCGATTACATTATCATAATAACAGTCTACTCTAGCCCAACACTACTTCGTTCACAATAGGGTCGTCAAGTGTTGGGTGTGTATAAATATCCTCTCCAAGCCTGTCTATCAATTGCCTTGTGTGTCGTGGTAATAACCAACAAAATATTTCCCCGTCCTTCTTCGGGTAAAGCCATGATCTACAGTATTCAGCTACGTTGTCTTTTTCTGCGCAAGTCAGAAAAACGTCCACAAATTTAGGATCGTCTGCAAATCTGAGAAAACTGGTGTGCCTAAATAAATCACTTGAAAAACTGACTACAGGAAGGTCAAGTTTTAGAGCTGGTCGGTATTTCTCTAAATTGACAAGACTGGATTCCTTGTCATATTTCTTGAAATTGAATCTTTCAGCGACAACATTATACTTCTCAATCCAGTATTCCTCTTCCAGATTGATTCTGTAGGATTGGCAAAGAAGGATCAACATCAATACTGCATCTCCACCTACGAATTGCAAGAGTAAATCATCACAACGATGTATTTACTTAATTTTTTTGATTTCTGAAAAACCCTTCACATTAATAGAGAAGAGCACAATTTGCAATTGTAAAAAGACACAGTGTCATGTTGATATTAGTACTTTCATCACCCCTGTTTGAAGTGGTCGATATTAGGGATCTCATAATTGTCAATAATTTGAATTTGAATATCCGACAGGAGTATTCGAATACAGGTATATTCGAATATTGGATGAAATAAATTAGTCTCGCATTATATCTTTTTTTATATATCACTATGAATTATCAGAGACATGGCGTTCTGAGATAAATTCAAAAAGGGTTTTTAAAGAAAATCCTACCTTGATACCCCCAACGTCGCAGTTCTATAACAATTTAACCTTATAGATCATTCTGTAGACGATGTAAAAAAAGTGTTACGTTAACCTAACCCATGAACATAAGATATCAAAAGCATAGTTTAAAATGTTACTATTTTTTATGATTATGTACTGATGTATATCTCCGAGAGACTTTTCCTTATTTTTTTATGATTACATACTTATAATTCCACACCTTTCATGTGGATCTCCTCTAAACTTTTCCTTACACCTGTACAGTCGTGCTCGCTATGATCTTCAGAAGACCTACCCACCCGACACGGCAGACCTGCTAAAAAATCCAAATCAAAGTACTGAAAGTACAGACCTGCTAAAAAAAGCAGCATGTTACTAAAATAAGCAAATGCCGGTATATTTCGAATCTCTATATTTAAAGGACTCGTTTCGAACCCATCATTGATTCAGAAGTATCTGGTGATACTGTGATACTGCTGTTTTGTACCAAAAGGATTGACTGATTGATTGAATGTTTGTTGTTTTACTTTGAATTCGAAACGTTAACTTAAAGTAGAGAAGTCACCATAAACCAGTGAAGGACATGAAATTAAGACCTTTACTTCATTCTCAAGGTCAGTAATTAAGTGAGGTTTCTATATCATGCCAACGCCTACAAAGCACGGTGTAATTTACTGTGAGTGTCTATACAGATAAATAAAACACGGTATAGCGTACCTGTCAGTGAGTCCTTGTATGTAAGTCTGTATATGTCCACTGTATTGTCGAAATCTGAACCAACCCAGAGTAGTTGTGTTCTGTCATCGTAACCAAGGCCACATTGGAAGCGCTGCCCGTCCTGGGTCGTCAATACCTTAGACAAAGAGTTACCATCTTGGTCAAGCAACTCTACTGCGAAAGCGTAAGTATCACACACCAGGATGTGTGAGAGAGCGTCTGTACACACTCCACGAGGATCTAAGGAGTAGCCTGGTTGACCTTTGTAGGAGAAGCGATGTCTCCCTTCACGATCCGTTACAACTAAAGCACCAAGTTTCCAGTCCGACACAATAACGTCTCCATTGCGGTTCTCTGTGAGATAGATAGGCAGAAGATACAAATCTTCGCCGGAGTCGTTGTGTTGTATTGTCTGTATGTGTTGTCCTGCATTATTGTAACGGTTGACCTTGCCTGTCTTTGAGTAAGTGTGACCAGCAGGTCTCCATTAGAGGGGGAGCTGAAAACACTCCATGCTTCCCACGGCGCTGTGTGCTTTATAAATGTGATATTTGTGTTGTTTTCTATCGACAATTTGTGGATGTTGTACTCACTGTCTATATAAATCAACTCCCCGTCCCTGTTCACAGTGTGAACTCCCCATAAATCAGCAATACCTGTGAGGTGATGCAGTATATCGCCTGTGGTGTTTGTCAAGACGATATTGCTCCTATCACTGATCCAGACTCGGTCTGATGTTACGTGGGAAATGTGTACAACGACACTTACACCCGGAACTCGGATCAGTCTCTGTCGGACTGCTCTAGACATTATTTTCATCAGATATTTATTTTTATTCCTTATTTCCTATATGCTTTTTTCAAAACGTAATCTCTTGTTCATTTTCTCATCCACTGAAATCTCATAAATGCAAAAAATTGTCACTTTCTACTTTAGCTGCATAAAAATTTGCATATGATCATATCCTTAAATTGTTTCTTTCCGTGAATTTCTTATATGACTGTAAATCCTTACTGTGTGGTGTTGAGTCCTTAATGACGCTTAATCCTAACTGTGTGCGATGTGGGTGTGCCATCTGACGCTGATTACTTGCTGACTGTGATGTGGAATCGTTTGTGATGCTGATTCCTTGCTGTCTGTGATGTGGAATCGTTTGTGACGCTGATTCCTTGCTTTCTGTGATGTGGAGTTGTTTTGACGCTGAATCCTTATTGTGTGTGATATGGACTCCTATGGGACGCTGAATCTTTAGTGTGTGTGATGTGGACACCTATGGGACGCTAAATCCGTGGAGTCAAATGTTTGCTGAATGAAAGAAATGTAATCTGTTTATTTATTTTTTTAATCCCATATTAAAAATGTTTTTTTAAGAATGTGAAAAAGAATACATTAAAAGTTTATATTTGCATATTCACTGTTCTCTCCCACTATGAACATGTAACAACAACTGCGTTCATCAAACTATAGTCGCAACTGCTTCTGCTATGAGTGCAATTGCTCTATCACACTAATGTAGAACAAGCTCTACTACACCTTTTAAACGTGTTGAGAAGTATATATATGAAATGTTTCTTAAGAGGAATAAATATAAGTTTTTAATAATATTCTTAAAAAAAAAAGAAATTCAGAATATTTAAAATTGCTGATTTATATCTTTAAAAGTTCAATTTTGGTCAATGTATTTAATTGTATAATAAAACTTTTTAAAATTATAGAGAACTGCCACATTTTTTTATTTTTTCGTATCATGCATATTTGTACAAAGAACGATAACTCTTCACACTTGGGTTATAACATTCGGAAAGAGAAAATTTCTTTAACTAGTATATCTATTTCAAGAATGATTTCAGCTATTAAAAATAAATAGAAAAAGTAATAATCAGTGATAATAAGTAATAATCATTATACATGTAAAAGCATTCTCATTTTTCATCATAGTGTTAAATTATTGATTTTTGTCAGAGGGTTTTAATAACGTTGATCAATGACGTCACAACTGCATCAACACAAAAATTAAGAGATGATGACGGCGCTGCTTGTATCCAGATAACTGTGTTTGAGAGGGAAATACTTTATAAATTGTTTGTGATTTATTAGAGAAAAGGAGCATTGATCAGGTGTACTGATTTTAAAGCCGTATGTTTCTCTTTACTGAAGACAAGAAGCCGCGTCCTCATGTAAGTCAGGATTTAATCTGATATTCTTGAAAAAAAATCAAAGAATGCAAATATGAGTAATAAACAACGATTATTCAGTGAACATGGCATTATGAATAGCAATTGCTCTGCTGGCATATTTTCCATGATGCGCTAGCGCGCATCATGGAATATGCCAGCAGAGCAATTGCTATTCATAACGCCATGTTCACTGAATAACGTTGTTTATTTCTTAAATATACACGCTATAACTTGCTCCAGTTAAAATAAGATTGGAGATTTATATATTTTGTTTACCAATAAAAGCTACGATAATACTGTAAATCACATCATTAAAATTAAACGCGTTATAAAGTAATCAAATTATAATTATTTATAACCCTGCTAGGAGAGAAATTGCTATGTAAGGGATAGATAACGAGATGGTGTTGAATAGTTTAGAGAAAACATTCCCCTCCGAGGGCCTTCGGTCCTTTGAGGGGAATGTTTTCTCTAAACTATTCAACACTATCGAGTTATTTATCTTACTTAAAATAATTCCCTCTATTGAACCCCAAAGAAGCAGTGACCAATTCATATATCCAACTGTGCCATAACAATGGCATCTAACCATTTCATATATCCAACTGATTGCAATACAAAAAGCTAACCGAACACCCCTCTGCGAGCTTGTGAAAGAGGTGCTCACTTCATATCAAACCATTCTGTTCTACGGATCGCACATGGATTCTGATGAAAAAAATTTTCTTACACAAAGTAAATTTAAAGAAGTCCAAAGTTCAGGGGAAGATACAGATAGTGTTTTAAATGATATTTTAGACTTGCAGGAGGAAAAAGAAAATCAGAATTTTGATCTTAAGCTAGACAAATAAAGTAATATTTCGGATGATGATTTGGTTCAAGTGTGTAATGTACTTTAGTATGTTTATGTACGACTTATCTAATAACGGAAGTTGGGGTTATCTGCCCTTGCTATCTCTGAAAAATTACCCGCCATGTCAGATGTCTGAATGCTCCACTGTACTGTCAGTATACAATAAAATATTCTGTTTTATACACCATACCGGTGTCTGTTGATACTTGATAATATACTACATGGTGTCAGAAGAAACTCGGAATGGCAACTCTTCCGATCGATCAGCCCAGATTCGATTGGCAAGCCGGAGATCTGTACCAGGAATTTTGTCGGTTCAAGCAACACGTGGGTTTCATCTTCAAAGGGCCACTAGCGAAATCCGATGCAAAACATAAGGCAGGATGGATCGGCATGTGGATTGGACAAGAAGGTAGGGAAGTGTACAAGACTTTTGTGTTTGAAAATGACGACGAAGACGACCCAAAGAAAATTTTGGACAAATTAGAAGACTATGTTCGTCCCAAGAAAAACAAGCGAATGGCAAGATTCAGACTTCACCAAAGAACACAAAAAGAGGCCGAAACTTTTGATAACTTTGTTAAGGATCTCAAAATCTTAGCATTGGACTGTGATTACGCGGGTAATAATGATGTTTTGATTGACTTGATCATTAGTGGCGTCAGTTCAAGTTGTTCAAGTTGCGGTTTGGAACATGAACGTGGAAAGTGCCCAGCACTAGGAACCATTTGCAGTTACTGTAAACAACGAAACCACTGGAAGAAAGTGTGTCGGCGGCGGCTGAAACAGATCAAAGTCAGCACGGTACAGCGAGATACAGAGTCAGAGGAAGAGGAACTACTTACCATTAGTATGTGTACTTCCGTCAAATCCAGTCAGGATGACAACTGGGACGTTCATCTTGGTATCAAAGGTCAGCAGATTCGCTGCAGGATATATAGACACAGGAGCACGGACTAATATACTCACATCTGCTCAAATTAGAAACTTGGGAGGATGCACACTAGAGAGTTCCAACAAGACTCTTAAGTCATTCAGCAACCATAAGATCAAACCAATAGGATCAGTAACTCTTCCAGTTGTTTACCGTGATCGTAAAACTAACGTTCACTTTGAAGTGGTCGACTTGGATCAAGAGAATATCATTAGTGGTGATACTGCAGTTACTCTTGGGTTGATATACAAAACCGACCCCCATCTGCAGACTTCGATATCAGCTGTGACTGAGACTACAGAAAGTGCACAAAGTGAACTATCCAGAGACTATCCAGAACTCGTAGAAACTACAGGAACACTACCCGGAGAATACCATCTCAGTATAGACGAATCCGTACCTGCAGTTATTCATCCGGTAAGGAAACTCCCAGTAGCAATTAAGCCCAGGGCAGTTGACAAGCTGAGAGAGATGGAAGCTAATGGATACATCACGAGAGTGGACAGGCCAACAGAGTGGGTCAGCTCAATGGTAGTGAGTGTAAAGGGAGAAAAGATACGCATCTGCATAGATCCAAGGGATTTAAATCGCGCTATAAAAGCGTGAGCATCACCCTATGAAAACTATTGACGACGTCATATCAGACATACCGAAAGCCAAGATATTCTCAGTATTGGATGCCAAATCTGGATTTTTGCAGATTCAGCTCGACGAGAAGTCATCGTACCTGACAACATTTAACACACCGATAGGAAGATATCGTTGGCTCCGACTACCCTTCGGCATAAAATCAGCACCAGAAATCTATCAGAAGATCATGGACAACATGATATCTGGAATCAAAGGTGCGTCTGCCATCATAGATGACATCCTCATTAAAACTAACGAGTGAAACTAACAGGTGAAACACTCGAGGAACATGATGCCATACTTAGAAAAGTTGTGGAACGGGCAACAGACTACAATCTGAAATTGAACTTTGAAAAATGCAAAATTCGTAAGTCTAGTGTGCCATACATGGGCCATATAGTGTCGGATCAGGGACTCAAACCAGACCCAGACAAAATCAAGGCTATACTTAACATGCCAGCTCCACATGACAAGGAAGGTGTCCGCAGGTTCCTTGGACTCATACAGTACTTGTCGAAATTCATTCCAAACTTGAGTGATTTGGACGCTCCACTAAGAATCCTTCTCAAGTCTGATGTGGAATTCCAATGGAACCATGAACAGGACGAAAGTTTCCAGAAACTTAAGGACGTGTGTACCAAGCCACCCGTATTAGCTCTATTTGACGTGAATAAACCGGTCGAGATCGAGTGCGATTCAAGTAAAGATGGACTTGGAGCAGTCTTGATACAGGAAGGCCGTGCAGTAGCTTATGGTTCTAGAGCTCTTACAGAAACAGAGAAACGGTACGCACAAATTGAGAAGGAAATGCAAGCTATAGTGTACAGTTGTCAGAAATTTCACAACTACATTTTTGGCAAGGAGGTCACAGTGTACAGTGATCATAAGCCGTTAGAGACTTTGTTCAACAAACCCTTACTGTCAGCTCCTATGAGGATTCAAAAGATGATGATAAAACTACAGTGGTACGACATCAATGTCAAATACAGGAAAGGCACTATGATGTACATTTCAGACACACTATCACGGGCCTACCTAGAGGAAAGCGGTGAAGAGGACACAGAGAAAGCGGACATGATCTGTATGTTATCCAAAACACCCGAGAAATATACTCCGAAATCCAGAGATCAACCAGAAGTGAACTTGAAACTCTCATGAGCACCATTCAAACAGGATGGCCAGACACAAAGAACGAATCTCTTTTTGAGGTCAGACAGTACTTCGACTCGAGGGATCAGTTATCCGTTCTTGATAGCATTGTGTACAAGGGAAGTCGAATAGTCATCCCACCCAGCTTGCGGAAAGAGATGCTTAACCTTATACACAAGTCTCACCTTGGGATAGTCAAGTCAAAGAGTCGCGCCAGAGAGGTCATGTATTGGCCAGCCATGAATGCTGACATAGAACAGGCCGTAAGCAACTGTCCATCTTGTGCAGAGTATCAGAAACAGCAAAACAGAGAGCCGCTAAAGCCAACACCAACTCCAGATCTACCATACACTCATGTGGGAACTGATGTATTTGAATTCAGAGGCAGGAAATACCTGATTCTGGTGGACTACTACTCAAAATACATTGACGCCGTAGAACTCAGATCAGAGACAACTACAGCCATAATAGAAGCCATGAAAACAGTTTTCGCATGCCATGGACTTCCAGGAAAACTCAGGTCTGACAATGGACCACAATTCAGCTCAACTACCTTCAAAACCTTTTGCGCAGAGTTTGGAATTGAACACGAAAGAAGCAGCCCTCATTTTCAAAGCTCGAATGGCGAGGCTGAGAGAGCAGTACAAACTATAAAGAACCTATGGACAAAGTGTGACGACAAGCAACTTGCTCTACTAGATTACAGAACAACTCCACTAGAAAACATTAATCTGTCACCAGCTCAACTGTTAATGGGACGCAGACCTAGGAACACGCTTCCAGCATCACAAGATCTACTTAAACCAGCAACACACGACCTAAGAAAAGTACAGCAACACCTTAATGTCCAGAAAGCCAAGCAGAAATTTTACTATGACAGGAGAAGAAATGTGAAGGAGTTATCACCCCTAGACAATGCTTACCTAGTTTTACCAACACTCGTAGCGAACACCACACCACCTAGCGTTATAATGCCGCACTAAATTTTGACGGTTTGACAACTTCCATTCGTCTTCATTGAATATGCTTCATTGTTTGCGTGATTGAATTAACATTCGTAGTAGAGATAATCCTAATAATTTATTCAAGAAACTGTATAAGTTTAAAAGAAAATAGAATGAATTTACAAGAATAAAGCAACATAGAAGTAAGGACAAAATGAAGAATGATAAAAGTTCGAAGTGAAATGTAATAAAGACGAATATGAAACATTAATGTGACATACAATTATAATAATAACAAAGCATAAAGAAGTAGGCAAAATAAGAATAAAAGCAAGATACATAGACTCTTGGTGGTAATTCCCTTTCTCCCTCCTCGCTTTTCCCAAACATGATGTTTTACTGCAATTTAGTACCAAAGCCATTATAAATATGGATTAAAAACATGTCTTGCGAAAAGTGAAAAAGTAAGAACCATACCCCCACCCTAATCCCTATTGAGATTCTGCTGGGCTAGATATTTGGACTGATGCCCGCAGAATCCTCAGCGGGCGTCAGTCCAAATATCTAGACCAACAGAATCTCAACAGGGATTACCCCCCTCCCTTCGTTTTTTCAGATAAAAGTGTCAATTATTTTTCTGGGTATCCGTTTAAAAAACGATGCTGCATGCATGATGACTAGATTAGACTAAATGAACAAAATATGCTTTATAAACTTCTTGAAAATGGTAGGCTCTTTAGAACCATCTGATTAATGTTTATAAACTCAATGAGGATTTCAAAAAGGAGGACTCCCTTCCTAATCGTTCCCTAAAAATTCCCACCCTCAACTTTTCCGGATTTTTTTTTGACGATAAAAGCTCTGACTCCTGTGCTCGGGTCATGGAGCAGTGAGGGATCTTGTTCTTGCCAGCATCTACTGGGACATGGGACCTCGGCTTATACAGTCTCATCCGAAGGACTGGTCCCCACGTTCAACTCCTTAATTACTTCCCGACTCTAGAGCATACGCTTTAACCATCATTCCACGCGAGCGACCATCTGTTTTAAAAAAAGATTTTAAAAAATCTACTTAACACATGATCACTTCAAAGATTTTTAATATAAATTTTCCGTTTATACAGCATATAATCTAATGTGTATTTTACAAACTATACATGAATAAATCTGTCAATACATTTTCAAGTTCCAGAATATTTTCTAAATGAGGGGAGGGGGTTTATGCCCCTTAAAAAAAGTCATCCAAATGCAAAAGACCTATTTTTTTGTGTGTATTGAAGCGGGGGCTAATGGACATTAATTCCTTGTTAAACTGTTTCAAGTTTGTTTATGATTCTTCTACTTATTTACGAAAGATTCATAACTCCTGAAGGGGGTGGGTGGGTCCAGGGTTATTTCTTGATTGTTTTACTGTATAAAATTCATAACTGAAGGTCTGAGGGGGCCAGAACTCTCAAACTGCCCACTTCTTCCTGCCAAATCTCCCAGTAACACAGCAGAAAAGGCTTTTAAAAATGTTGAAACATTATTCAGGATTGTTGGGAGTTTTTACTAGAGTATACCCCTGCTAATATATTGTATTTACAAACAGTCTTATGGACAAACATGAAATTAATTTGTATATTAAACAATTCACGAGTATTTATTTATATGTTTATGATACGAATTGGGGAAAAGATAAAACTGTTAAGAAGGAATTAACTTGCCACCCTTATAGCACCCCCATTTCGTCTTAATAGGCTTTTGCATAATGCAACCTTGCATAATTTTCAAATCACGAAAGTACAATTTACATGTCACCAGTTGACAAATCGCAAATCTACAAATTACATGAGAATATTGGCAAAACTTACATTTAACACTGTCGAATTAAGTAGGATAGTTACAATTAATAAATTGTGATAGAATATTTGACAAATTTTAAAATTATGATTTACAATTTACAAATTCAGGTTTACAAGTGTACATTTTAAGAATTACAGAGTTGGAATTTCAAACCCGTTGGCTCTCCATAGAATATAACATGAACATTGGGTTGTAGGAATGACAGTTTGTTAATATGAGGTAAGCAGAGTAAATCAATAACTTGCTCTTTGAGTGGTAGGTATAACCATGATAACATTTCTGCAGAGAGATTCAGGTTTATGTATCACAAGAGATGTTTTAAAAATTAAGTAAATATTTTTTTGGTATTGATGAATCCTTAATTAATTAACTTACTAGAATACACTAACATATGACTATTTTTCTTTGGCTATAAAAATTATTTTCTTTGTACAGAAAAGCATGACTTGATTGTCAGGGTCAACAAATAGATTATAACCCAGAGATGCTTGGATCTATATCATTTTATGAATTCCAAATATAAGTAAAGAAGAATGTTGATAATTTTATTATGTTCATTAAAGTGTGTCAAAACATTATTATTTCTTTTTGAGGCGGTTGCAATCTTCAGGAGAGGTTTGTAGAAAAGTTATAACTCAAGTGATTTAGCACACACAAACATGTAGTATTCCTGGACTTATCTAAAATTATATATGAGCAAAGTTTAGTGAGGCTGAATCAGAGAAGATTACTTTAAGACACAGTTTTTGAAAAAAAAATGTTATATTGATATCAAACATATGTTAAATTAATATCAAACTCATGTGAATACATTCATCTTTGACAAACAAGGAATATGACTACCTATATGTAAGACCATTCTTTTGTGAATGCACTGACTTGTATTATCCTTAAAATGCTACATTATACCATGGTATACAGTACAATAACATCACTGCATATATTTGATTTTCTTCACTTGTCTTCTTATCCACTGAGCAACAAACAGATTGTCATTTGTATCTAAACATAGTCCCATTGGACCACTCAGTCCACATTCTATGTAACGGAGGAACTGTCCATTCTGGTCTATGATGTGAACACAGTTATTGTTATCATCAGCTGTAAGGATGTGACTCTGACTGTCTGTGGTGATTCCTAGTGGACTGAATGGTTTGTTCTTTGGAGCAGGAGTATGTCCAGTGTACCTGAATTTGATCAACAAAATGTAGAAATTGTTAACGTTTATTCATACTTTTTAAAAAGGATTTGGTAGAATTTCAAACGAAATATAGTTTTTGTATATATCATGTATATAGAATTATATTTTGGTATCAAGAGTTTACAGTCTTTGACACTACTAACTGATTTGTTACTGAAAATAATTGTACTTTAATATGGACAATTTTGTAAAATTCTGTATATGGAAAAGACTATCTGAGTTGTAGAACATTTGTCTTATCCTAATGACTTTGTCAGTAAAATATGTTCAATTCAAAGTGTACCTGAATCTCAGTTTCCCGGCCTGATTGACCACCACTATTTCTCCAGCTTCACGGTCAGAGACACAGATATCCAGGATCCTGTTCTCAGTTATATAACTACCAGATGAATAGAGAGGTTTACCGTTATCATCAAACTGAATGGTTTGTTTCTCTGTGGAGCCAGAGTAATGGACAACTTTTGTTTTTTTATCATCACTGACCATGATAACCAGGAGGTCATCAGAGGAGGTACTACAGACACCGCGAGGTCTCCAGTTCTGTAGTCTGATCACCTCCTTTATCTTCATATTCTTCACAATGTTCACAGTTCTATCATTGGTATCGATATAAACTAGATCTCCACTTTTTGTCACTGCTATGTCAGATGGTTCGTTCCCTGACTTGGTTCTGATTGACTTGAGTAGTGATCCCAGATTGATGCTGAAGAGTTTCATGATGTTTTCATCTCCACTTGTCCAGATGTCTTCATCACTTAGACAGGCCACATGGTAAAGGTCTTTATACCCAGTGTGTATGATGGTGACAGCCTCTGGTTTATCAAGCAGCTGTTTGACTGGAGGAGAGGATCCAGCTTTTGGTGATTTCTGTGCTGTCTTCATGCTGTACCCATGTTTATCTGAAGTAAGAGAACTTAGTTCTAAAGCTCCAAACCTGTCATGAAGTTCTTTTTCATGAATTTTCCCTGGCAAGAATTTAGGTAAAGATGGCACAATTTTCTGTGGAAGCATTTGGTATCTCTCTATATTGAATTTATTCCCAAACAGTTTTGACAAGTCATTAGTGTCTATGGTGGCATTAACTGCTTTAATTTCATCCCTGATGTCAGACATTGTCTTGGTTATTTCATCCAGATGTTTCTGTAGAGTTTGTAACTGTGTTTTTTTCATTTCATCCACTTCAGCTTTAAGTTTCTTGACAAGTTTGTCAATTTCTCTGTGCCAGTCCTCTCCATGTTTTGTTATGGCCGTTGAGAGATCTCCATATTCCTTTTCTAACTGACTCATTCTGTTTTGTACATCAGAGGCAATGTCCTGGTAGGTGGGATAAATTGTCTCTTTTAATTCGGTATGTTCTTTGATTATTTTGTTCTTTTTTTCATTCAGAATTTGCAAAATTGTAAAAAATTTATGACCAAGATGTTGATCAGATGCAATGCAAGTGTTGCAAACAGGAATGTCACATTGTTTACAGTACATTTCACATCGTTCTTTATCATGAGTTGCACATCCAGGGTAGAGGGGGGTTGATTTTCTGGACTGAAATTTGACGATTTTGTGATCCTTGGATTCATCTGTTGAGATATGTTCTCCCACACAGGCCTTACACATGTTGACAAGACATGTATCACAGTGCATCTGTACTACAGCGGTCTCACACAGGTCGCATCGCATCACGTCTTGGGCACTGGTACGGGGGTCCATGATTAGAAGGTTTGTGTCTTGAATATACAAAAATCTTTGTGAATATTTATTGACAGATAAGATATGATATAAAACAAAAAAATATAACAGAAATGTGTTTCAGAAAAATTAAAAGCTGAATATCATGAAGTATAAGGCTATTTCTTATGATCAATTAAATCGTTCAGTTATTCAAAAGATTAAGCAAAGAGTTTAAATACTGAATCAGAATGAGTCGAAACAGCTTTTCCGAAGATTGTCTCATGTTGAGCTATGACTAGTAAATTGTCCTAATTTGGAAGGCCAAAAGATGGCTGTGAAAATTGTTAGATTATTCATAAAGCAAAAATCACCAACTATGTTATGTACAATTTACCAGTATATATATTAAGTGTAATGTACACAGTAAAAGACACTGAGAAAGGAGTTTTTGATAAAGAAATAATTACAAAAATAGTGAAATCTCATTCCAGTGATGAAAGAATATATCTGAAAAACTGATTTAAGGTCATTTTAAAAAGTAGAAAATAAATATTCTTAAGGAATAAACCTACCTGATATTTAGAAGACAATAATGGCGTCCGCCCAAGTACAAGTCCTCTTTCTCTTTACTCAGGTCACATGACTAGTGGCCAGTTTAAATCTGTCAAGTCCTTTATACTTCCTGGAATAAATCTAGGTTATATTTTATCAGCATTCAGGAAGAATTAATTTTTTAACTCAAGCACAAAACTTGCAACACTTTAATAGAAAGTAAGAAATTGAAACTTTACAAGGATCAAGCTGTAGAACTTTTTGACCAATGAAATTTGAATACACTTCAAAATAAAATCTTGCTCACTATGATAAAGGAAATAGCAAAGTTAAACTCTTTTTAATACCTTTAATAGAAATACACCACTGATTTTGCAATGTTCATAAAATCATTTAATTTTTTCATGTTTTTCTTCACAAACATCATGTTTCTAAAATTTCCATAAATTGACATGGCATTTAAATGGGACTTGTAGCTAAATTCTGAATATTACTAATTAAAAATGCTGATCAATTTAAAGAGGTCTGTGAAAAAGCCCTGTAGCAACCTCTAATGATAAAACGCCGCTTAATGATACAAATAGCATTAAGCTTGCAATTGCAACGCTTAATACCATAAATTATTGCATTAATAGCTGACATTATCAACCGCTAATGCTAAATCGCCGCTTAATGACAGAATTATATCATTAAGCGTCACAAATGTAGTGCAACATCGACGCTTAATGAAACAAGCAAATATCGACATATTCGACGCTTAATGATACACACTGGTGTATCATTAAGCGTTGCAGTTGCAACCCTTAATGATATAAAATTTAGAAATCGCTTGTAATATCTAATAGAAACACACATCCACCTTTCCTGTACAATGAGATATCACTTGTCAAAATATTTATATACGCCCTTGTGCTTTATAAATAGTAATTATTGAAGTTTTACTGAGTCATTTAAACCCCAGATGTTTAAGAGATAGCTGGAAGAAAGAGATACAAACAAAGGGATAAATAAAATGATATTCAAATCCTTTAAAAGAACCATTTTTTAACTGAAAATACAGAGGCAAACAAGCAATTAAATTCCTTTTTAATTTATACAATGATTTGAATAGTCAACGTGAAATATATATATGTTTTAGATTTTATACAGCTTAACACATATCACTGTTAACGTTTCAGATATACGTATCGAGATTTTCACTATTGCTTCGTTTCTACAAATTCCGAAAGAGAGAGACATAAATATCGACAACTTGTGTTTAAGAATATATAACAAAGAATACAAGTACATGTAATACATAGAATAATATATATTGTGTTGAGAAAAAGGTTCATTTATGCATTAATAGTGAGCCGTAATACTTGAATACATCACTGTTGCATGATTATTTTAGAACCAATTTTGAATTCTAGTATTTATCAAATTACAATATACATATTGACTGAGGTTGAAGAGGCTGTTTCTTTTTTAATTCTAAATATTTCATTTGTAGTATATTTTTTTTCTTTCGATATATAAGACTAGGTTTACATCTGACTACATGTAGTATTAAAATGAAATAGATTTAAACGAATAGAGTTCGGTACAAGAGAGACACTCTCTATTAATACTAGTATTCATCAGAAGTATTTCGTTCACTGCGAATGGGTATTGAAAGGTCACATGAAAGGTCCGACTATGCTTTACTTGCATTGGTTAATACTTTAATGAGCTACAAAATATTCTCGTCTCATGCAACTACGGCCAGATGGGGAGAGGGTCGTACATTTTGACAGTGGTTAAGGACGTTCCAAAGTTTTCACTTTCTCAAATCAAAGTTCCAAAGTTTTTACATTGCTTCTCTAGTTAATTATATTAAACTATAGTAAACTATGTAGTTTTCTATAGTATTTTTTTGTTAGGGACATGTCCGCTATCTAACATCAGCCGTGAGTAAAAAAACTGTCTAAATTTCAGACTTATTAGCTCACCTGAACCAAAGGCTCAAGTGAGCTTTTCTGATCAAAATTTGTCCGTTGTCTGTCGTTGTTGTTGTAAACTTTTCACATTTTCATCTTCTTCTCAAGAACCACTGGGCCAATTTCAACCAAACTTGCTACAAAGTATCCTGGGGTAAAGAGGATTCAAGTTTGTTCAAATAAAGGGCCATGCCTTTTTCCAAGGAGAGATAATCATGAATAAGATAAAAAATAATGGCATTTTAAAAAAAAATCTTCTTCTCAAGAACCACTAGGCCAGTAAAGATGTACTTCATGTTGAATCATCCTCAGGTAGTGTAGATTTGATTTAAGTTTGTTCAAATCATGACCCCCGGGGATAGGGTGGGGCCAAAATGGCCGATCAAAGTTTTACATAGGAATATAAAGGAAAAATCTTTAAAAATCTTCTTCTCAAGAACCACTTGGCCAAGAAAGATGGAACTCATGTGGAATCATCCTCAGGTAGTGTAGATTTAAGTGTGTTCAAATCATTGACGCCGGCCGGGGGTAGGGTGGGGCCAAAATGGCCGATCAAAGTTTTACATAGGAATATGTAGGAAAAATCTTCTTCTCAAGAACCATTGAGACAGGAAAGATGAAACTCATGTGGAATCATCCCCAGGTTGTGTCGATTCAAATTTGTTCAAATCATGATCCCCGGGGATAGGGTGGGGCCAAATGGCAGATAAAGTTGTACATATGAATATATAGAGAAACCTTTTAAAATCTTCTTTTCAAGTACTTCAAAGCCATGCTAAGTGATATTTATAGGGAATCATCCTCAGGTAGTGTAGATTCTAGTTTGTTAAAATCATGATCCCCATGGGGGTTAAAATTCAAGTCCCCTTCCCCACTTCCACCCCCAGTAAACTTTCAGTTCTGATCTGATATGTGCTTTTCCTAGCCAATTGCTCAGGTGAGCGATATGGCCCCTTAGCCCATGGTATTAATTATAAATGGTACATGTATACCGAAATAGATCATTCTTTGCTGACAATGGCAGTGGAGACAGACTGAAATCTTTCTAGTAAGGAATAGAATTAACCACTTTTGAATAATATGACATTATTGTTTCTAATTATTCCAAACTTAAAGTACAATGCTTTGATATGCTTGGACTCTTGGTATTTAAGGCATGGCATCTCGGTGCTACATAATTACATGTTAAATCGATAGAGAGGGAAACAACGGGAAACAAATCCACATGGTCATTAGCTCATCTGATTCTATATATAAAAAGTAGCACATATACAAGGAAAGAAAGAAACACAGAAGTCTTTCTGTGTGCTGTCTAGTTGGCAAAAATAACCACGAGCTAGAGTTTTTATTGCAATGACATTTAATTAATTTTCATTTTTTATCGTTATAAAAAAGCAATACTTTGATTGGACATAGTTACTTTAAGACCCTGGGTAGCACATGTAATTTAGACGATAAAAAACGTAAGTTGCATATAAAGAAAGCCTGTGGCAAAATTTCCTAAGTAAAGAGGAGGACCTTGGAGAATAAAAAATCCCTAATCTTCCCAAAACATTAAAGAAATATTTAACTTAAGTAGGGTTCTTCTCTTGTTTCTGACTAGATGGAATATTTAAAGTATATCTGTTGATATGTAATATATTTAGATGTAAGAGGTTTAAAAGACCATATTTTTATTTCCTCATCACAATTATACAACTTGAAATAGAAATGGTAAACTGCGTTTGAAAACTAGCAGGGACTATATTTTGGCGTAATGATGGCGTATGAAAATATCTTCTTTGCTGCCTCTCAGAATTATTATAGAACATTGAATTTAGTTATAATTTTTACGCAATCAAAGACTAGACGAAATTTTCAAATGTAAGTTCAACTACATGTAATAATAAGGGACTAAAGTTTCAAAACATATCAAATAAATAAGATTTTTCACACATACTAGAACTATGTTTGCTTTTAAATGCTTCAAATCCAAGTACAGATTTGAGCCAAAAAGTGTTATCTTAGTAAACGATCAAAACTATTAGTTTTTGTATTATTTTGTACCTTTATGTGCCAACTTTACTATATGTGAAAATTGGAAAAATTTAAATACATGTAGAGGAAGCATATAAAAATAACTAATAAATACTAAAAATTTAAGAAAAATAGAGGATATTCGGATTAGCATATATCCATTTTATTTAAGTTACCCATGTCAATTTGGTAATACCATCTTATAGGCCCTATATGGTAGTATATTTTTGTGCAAAAATAAAAAAAAACTAATCTTTTGAACTACAAGTAGGGGTCGCATTATTGGAAACAGAAATTTTTAGCTCTCTGGTTAGAGACTAGAAGAGCTTATGCGATAGTAATGCGTCCGTCCGTCTAGCTGTCTGTCTGTCTGTCTGTAAACATTTTTTTTTAAAACGCTACTCCTCCTACAGTTTTGGTCTGATTTCAGTATAACTTGGCACACAAATATACTACACTAGAATACATAGGATACTTCATCGGTTTTTGATTTCGATGAACAGTGTTGCCATGTTTACTAAAAATAGAATTTTCTGTGAAATTTCTTTAAAATACTACTTGTCCTACAATTTTTGTCTGATTTCAATATAACTTGGCACACAAGTAGACTACACTAAGATTCATAAAGTAGTGCATCAGTTTTTGATTTTGATGAACAAGGTTGCCATTATTAGTAAAAATAGAAATTTCTGTGAAATTCCCTTTAAAACGCTACTCCTTCTACAGTTTTGGTCTGATGGTAATGGCTTCTTTACAAGTTTTTAAGTACAAACCAGTAGAGCTACAGTCTTGACAGAGATTTCTGGTTTAATGTTAAGATCAATATAAATTTTCTTAAGAGATTGTCATTGAAGAATAGGTACTTAAACAAGATTCCTTGCAAAAAATAAGCTTACCTTACCAGCCATTTGGACAAGATACCAAAGGTTCATATTTCTTTTATAACTCTTATGGATAATCCTCTGAACGGCCTATCTCACCATTTTTTGGTGTACCTATATTTTAAAACATTTTGAAAACAATGTAGAAATCAGAAGAGAATACTAAATATGAATATTTTTTATCTTATTCCAAGAGATT